CGACAGACAGCTGCTATCTGTCCCACGGCCATCCAGGTCTCGCTAATAACATCCGTCAAAGAGCCTCCGTCCATGTGCTCCATCACCAGCCAGAGCTCCTGACGGACAAGGTAGCTGGGAGAGGAAAACCACAGCGTGGAGAGGAATGAGACACTCGAAAAACATCCAAGCCCACTACAGCATGAAGGGAGAGAACATACAGGCTGTTGATTTAGGAAGAGATCCAGGTTTTTGAGAACAGTGTTTAAGCTGTGGATTCCAGGAAGCACTAATGCAGACCAAATGCAATCTCCTCCCATACGTGGTATACAAGCAGATTAAAAATATAAATTGAAAGATCCATTTTCTGCTGGGGAGTAAAGAGCTTTCTAACCTCTGCCTTGCAATATGTAAATGAACATTCACATGATAACACCAGAACTGCTTACCTGTCTAAATAAGTAACGATATTGGGGTGGTTCTTATCCCTCAGGACCAGGATCTCTTTCAGGAGTTCCTCTTTGCTCTGTTGGTGGAGTTTGACTTGCTTGATGGCCACCTAAAACGACGCTGACAACCATGACCTTGAGAAATCTCTTGCATGAGACCACCACGAGCAGGGAGTGCACGGTTTTGGAATGTCCCAGGCAAGCTGTGCCCAATGGCCTCGTGGTTCGACGTCAGAGCAATTCATAAGTGACATTCCAACAGCCCCTTTCTCCGCTCCCTCGGGTGCCAGTTACAGGGCCCAGGGCCATGGGTGTGTTGCCTTGTGCACTTGGCAGAAATGGTCTCAAAACCAGCAACCACAAAGCTCTAACAACACTCAGCACCCACATTCTTCCCAAAGGGCCCTCGTGTGTCACCACTATTACCATTTACAGATGATTGGCAAGCACAAAGCAATTTTGCTCTTGTGGAAATGTGTCCAAACAGCTGGGAATGCCTTCGCATTTCTAGGGGATCTGATGCCTGTTTCACAAACTGCTGCTATTCTCAGTTGCCCAGGAAAGCGATCGTATTACTGATGAAAGGGTTGAGATTTGCAATGGGATACGCCCTTGGTGCTAAGCGGGGCTTAGGGCTTTTAGACGCCTTGTAGACCTCTCTCTAGGCACAGTTCCCAAGCACAGCACTGCCAGGGGATAAGGAACTACCACAAAGATTCTGATGTGTTCGCTGACAGCCAGAAATGGGAATTCAGGAATGTGGGGCTGGAACCCCAAAGAGCAGAGGGACTCTCTAAGACACTGCCGTATCTGCTTATTATAAAGAGCATCTCTGTGATGGGCTGTAAAGGACACCGGACCAAACCAGGATGGCACTGCTCAGGAGAGATCTTTGCTCTTGGGAAAAGTCTTCTCATTGTTGTGTGCCAAGCAACTTAACTAGGACTGAAAGCCAAAACTGCGTTGCAAACGTGATCTCTCCTTCATTAGCTTTTGCTTTCGATATTCAAGATGAAAACCCTGGTGAAAAAGAAGCTAAATCTTCTCTTTCTGAACCTGGGATGGAGACAAATTGGGCCTGAATGACAGCAGTCGCCATCAGCCAGTCAATGCCCCTTTATCAGACAAGACCACGCTGGCGTGTCCTTCTCTGCAAGATAACGCTGCTCTCCTTGCATTCTTTCAGGTAGTGAAGAACAACAAAGTCTGCCCCAAATGCATTTTGCAGGCTGCCTCTAGCCTGGGCTTCAGGAGAACAGCCTTGGCAGCAAAGTCTGGCGCGCCAGGGCTCCAGCCACAGATCACACCGCAGAGGAGAGCACTCAAGAGCTGCAAAATCTGGGGGGTTGTTGGCACTGACCTCTCCTCCTGTGACAGCATCGAATGCTCTAGACACGGTTCCAAAACCCCTGGAAACAGAAGAGCAGTGAAGAAATTCTGATCAGCCCTGAGAGACGGGAGACCCTTAGCCCCGTGTCTGAGCACGCTGGGAGCCTGCCCGACTTCACGCTTGAGTGTGGCACCAGCAAAATCCCTGGCCCCTGGCTTTGTGGAAGCCAGTGTGGTTGCACTCACCCTTGGCCAATATTTTCCCATCCTGTGTATTTCTTCAGTGGATCTCCATCGCTCACAATGCTCCCTGAAAGACACAAAATGCAACATGCTGTCTTGAAAGCAGAGATACCAGCTGCAGGCAGATCCCAAAGGCAGCCCCTCCGGCTGGGGCTCTGAGCCCTTTGTGCTCAGCTGGATCACAACTCCAACA